CTTGTACCAACTTTGGAGTACACTTTGGACACCAGAGTGATAACCTAAGGATGAAAAGCTGGAGGGAAAGCTTCAAAGCCTTAAGTTCAACATCCTATCCTTGCATTCAGCACATCTTTTTTTTACTTTATTTAGGAGAAGGTCTAAAAAATGACTGCTCTAATACTATCTAAAATGTCCTTTCTTCATTACTGAGAAGTGAAGAGGCAGAAGGATGAGAGAGGCTTAGCATGCCTTCGTGCAACAGGTTTTGGCAGGGGTTCCTCCCTCTCCAAGATAGGGATGAAGGAACTACTATTAACTAGTTTCCAAATTATTCTTAAGGTATTTCTGGAAAATACAGTGAAATGAAATGTCTCACCTGACAAAAGCACTGGTGATTTCCAAAAGGAGCAAGCCATCTTCTTAGGAGCACTTTTTAGCACATTAGAGACTTCCTGATGTTCTTGGCTGTTCTTGATTGTATGCCAGATGGGATGCACTTTTTGCAGGTATACCACTGGAGGTCACTCATGTACTAATAAACAGGACAGTACTGGCCGTGGCAGGGGAGAAGGTAATTTCATAAATCACCCAAGAATGAATTCAGCTTGAACTGAAGATTGCCTGGAATAAATAATAAAATGGAAATGAGTTGGGAAATAAGCTGTGTGGATATTTCTCAAATTTACAGAAGAATGTATTCAAACTAGCAAGTAAACTAATGATTTGTAGATCTTTATGAAAGACAAAAAAACCCAACACTAGCAAGCCAAGTTTGCTTTGATCTAGCTACAGTAATAATGGAAATGCAGCGTTCCTCTTTGCCAAAGAAAGCAAAAAGAGGAAAAGATAACCACAGATAACCCCCTCTAAAAATGCTCGCTGCCATCATGATCGATGCAACAAGAAATTGCAAACAAAATGTCATGTAAGATAGGAAGGGAAAGATTGCAGGGGAATTTTCTCACTGTGAAATTTCTGATAGGAGAAATAATGCAGGAAGACGTAATAAACTCTATTTATATGACTTGTTTCCTTATCTCTACTTTCTGTTAATCTGTTTTTATCACTGCCTTTCAAACTTCTGGGCATACCTTTGCCAAAATCATGAGTTGCTGAGAACAGGAACTTGTTAAAATGTTTTCCCTTTTACCCCTACACTAGAATTTTAGTCTAGATTTCCCACTCTGAGATGAAGAATACAAAAATGCAGGCCTTGTTTCAGCAACTATCAGTACAGCATCTCTTATCCCAACTGGGCCCAAACCAGTTATTTTACTTCAAAAGCAAACTGCTGCTGGCTGGCAACTCTCTACCTCAGGCTCCAGGCCCATCAGCATTCGCGCCAATATTCTCACAGTATGAGAGAGTCAATTAAAGTCAGACAGATATGTATGTTAATAGTTAAGGTAATGCTTATATATTATCAGGAGAAAATGTTTTGGAGCCGCTTTATTCACCTGTAGGAGAGGAGAAAATATCTGTCCATGACATTTAGTTCTTGTACAATATTTTGTGCAGCTCTGCTTTCCTCTGTACTTTTAATTCACTATTTATGTAATGCCATTCGGTTCTGGGGGCTCCTAGGGGGCTTCTGTGGCTGCTGTCTCCCGCTGGCTGCTTCCTGATTTACAGGTTCTTGATTTAAAAGGAGCTGCACATTCAGTAGTTAGCTGCCTGCTGATTAGGGGATGCTGGGCTGGTTTTTGTCTGCTCTGTAGGGATGCTTATTCAGCTGGGAGATGGGAACACAGTGGGCAGAGTTTTTCGTAGATTGTGTGGGTGCTGGGAAAAGGCAGAAACTCTCCTGCAAACACTGTGGGACTGCGCATCACCGGTGCTGCTGGGCTACTGGGTCTGATCTCCAGCACCAGCGAAGAAGGTACCCTTGGCACGTCAGTGGTGACAGCCTAGGCAGGGCTGGGGCAGGGAGATGTTGTGTCCAGGTGCCCCACTGGGCTGAGCATGGTGGGGTTCTCCCCTGCGGGGGGGGGAGCGGGGGGGGGGTAGTGGTCCAGGCGCTGTGTACCCAGGGACCTGCAGAAGGAGGTGTGCAGCCTGTTCACTATTAAGGAGGGTTAGTGGGGTATCAGCAGGGTCTCCACAGAGGTGAGAACCTGAGCCTGAGGTGGAGGGATGTCTAGGGGCTGTGCTGGATGGAGTGGTGGATGGGGACTCCCCTGAGGGAGGTTGCTGAAGCTCATGACTTCTGGTGGCAGAAGAAACGTTCCTCCTCCCTGCTCAGCGCTGAGTGCAGAGAGCTGGTATTGAGCCCTAACAGCCATGGGAGGGGAACAGATGCTGCTAAGGGAGTGTCCTGGTTTCAGCTGGGATGGAGTTGATTTTCTTGCTAGTAGCTGGTATAGTGTTGTGTTTTGGATTTAGTACTAGAGGAGTGTTGATGGCACGCTGATGTTTTGGTTGTTGCTAAGTAGTGCTAAGACTGGCCAAGGACTTCTCAGCTCTCAGCTCTGCCAGGTGCACGGGAGGCTGGGGTGGGGGACACAGCGGGACAGCTGACCCAAACTGGCCAAAAGGGTATTCCAGACCATATGACGTCCTGCTCAGTATAGAAGCTGGGGGAAGAAGAAGGAAGAGGGGACATTCAGAGTGATGGCCTTTGTCGACATTCAGAGTGATGGCCTTTGTCTTCCCAAGCCACCCTTAC